TAATGCCGGGAAGGACTACAAATTTTGGAAGAGAAGCATTTGCATCGGTCAAATGCGGTGCCAATATGATTGAGATAACACTTACAAACACAGATATAGGGGTTTACCTCAATTATATACATTTACGGCACCAGTCATATCTAAATATCTTCAGCCCGAAAGACGTGGTCAGACAAACAACTGGATTTTCACGCACGCAAAAGGCGTTCGCACAACTCCCCTGGTATTCGGAAAAACAGTCCTTGTAGATGGTGAGTAGATGTCTGTGATTTGTCCGTTTGAACATAGAAGAACACCAACTTTTGCTTATAACCCATTCTGATAATGTATCGCGACAGTCACAGAAACTGGACTTTTCCACTTTGCTTTTCTTTTTGGAATTAGAAATAAGGTCCTTTGCTTTGCTTACACCAATCCACTTATAAGCAGTTATTCCAAAGTAGTTACCCCAATATTATGAACTATAGTAGAAATACTGTATTAAGAAGAAGAAAGAAGAGAGAAGAAACCATTTTTCCTCTCCTCTAAGCCTTCGAGTTAGTTCTAAATGGTGGCTTCGCAGTCATGTTTGTTTTCAATAAATACAAGGTCTCCCGAATAAAATGTCATTTTTTGTCAATGATAGCTCTTTCGCTTTCGCATCTTTTGTAGGTCTTGGTAATTCAAAAAGAGCAGCAGGCTTGAACTAAGTTTTCCGCTCATAAAAAGATCTTGGAACTCCATCATGGGCTTTAGCGCATTATTAGGCCAAACATTGTTTAAAAAGCTAGCTCTTTAGAGATGCTCATAATTTGAACCCATCTGAATTTTCACACCGAATACTCTCGCAGTCGCCAAAAGAAGGTCTTCTTATAGTTAAAATCCAAGTTCAAACCATTCTTCAAAAAAATATTAAGGACTAGAGAGTGTTTAGAAATAAGGCAACAACCAACGGCAACTGTATTATTGGGACATTCATTTACAAATGCTATTCCATTTAAGCATTGACTTGCACTTGCTTGGAGCTTATCCTTGCCTTTATCTCTTTTTAACATTAAAAAAAACAGTGTAAGTGAATTTTGAATAAAAATTCGAGACAGAGATCAACTATTCTTGAAGTACACATTCTGGCGTAATTTATTTTTCTATGCAATTTCATAACGTAATTTCGATGAACTATGCTTCAGAGCATCCTCCTGCCCCCTTTTGTTTGTCTGTTGCTGCTCCATTTTGGGTAAGCATACACCAAGAACAGATTGACGCAAACGGTGGAGAACGGTTCCGTGAAAGTGTTGAAGTTCGCAGTTGTAATGGGAGCGAAATGCCTTGCTATGTAGGTTAAGTTACCTACTTTGGCATCGAGTAGTGGGAGAGAATTTACCTGTAAGTTCGTTTAGGAAATGACACCACTTGCCAATGATGCTCATCCATTATTCAATGAACATATTTATCTTGGAAAAGGAGTTATCC